TAAAAGAGAAATATAATTTTATATTTACAACTAAAAATGCAACATTACATAAATACTCGTTTTAATAAGAAAATAACACTAAATAATAAAAAGTAATATAAACCAACGGTCATCTCAAGTCGATTAAATAATGTCCAATTAAGTTGGAGTAGAGCTGAAGATAAATTTCATTTGAGCGCATTTATGATTTTTTAAAAATAATATTGGATTTCACAAGTGGAACTTTGAAATATTTTATAATTATTAATTCATGATTTATAGATTAATATATATTTGTGTGTACAAGCATTTGAAAAAATATTTTAAGCATAATAATATAATGAGATAATTAAAAATTAAATTTATTAAAATAAAATACAAAAACATGTATAAAAATTCACAAGAAATAAAAAGTAAAACAATATTAATGAATATATTTTATAACAATTAATTTATATCTTTTTTATTTGTTTTAACTTATATATTTTATAAATTTATTAAAACACATAAAATGATTAAAAAATATGTAAACAAAAACTTGAGTTCATGTTCAAACACATGAGTTCTTATTAAAATTTGTGATTGAACAAGAACATCTGTCATAAAATTGAGTGTTTTTTTTTTTTTTTACAAAATCCCATTAGAAACTTCAACGAAAACCATAAAATTGGTAAGTGTTTAACGCATAAATTTTCTCATTGGATGAACATGAAAATGGCCAAGAATCTTACTAGGTAAGAGCAAGTCTTACCCGTAAGTGAGGATGACGACTCTTACCCAGTAAATTGTTGTATTCGATATGTTTTGATATACTAAAATCTTACGCGTCAAAATAAATTATAGTGTTCACTCCTATTGATATGCGCTTACCGGGTAAACACATTAAGATAAACGGCCTCCTAAGCTTACCAGTAAATTGTTGTATTCGATATGTTTTGATATATACTAAAATTTACGCGTCAAAATAAATTATATTGTTCACTTCTATTGGTAAGCGCTTATCGGGTAAATATTTGGGTAAACGGTCTCTTAAGTGTTTAAAAAAGAGAAATAATATTTTATTAAATTAATTTTTTTAATAATATAATAAATGATATAAGATTTACATTAATATTTTATTTAAAAATAACAATAAATAACTATGGGAGATGCTATAAATAAAAGAAAGACTAGTTGTGTACCCGTGCAATACGGTGAGAGCCATGAATTTTAACGATTTTGAAGTTCCTCTGCTTTTATAAGATAAGATTTAAAGATGATATAAGTTACATTTGGTCTTTACATATTAATACAATTTGAATAAATAAGAGTTATGGTTCCAATTACAGACTATCGATGAAAAAAATTGTATGACAGTTTAAAATCCAATATATTTAAAATCCAACATATTTAAACGACACCACAAATATATTTAATTTACACCAAGAGCAAAGAAACAAGAAACTTGAGTTTTAAGATAAACACTCAAAACCAATAAAGAAAACTACAAATTTGACAGATCATAAGTCATGAAAATACAAAAAAATATTGGTTTTAGAATAAAATTTCAACTGGTTACCCTCTTTCTTGTCCAGAAACTCAGATTATAGTTGAATTAATACATGTATATACATATTTCAAAAAAACCCAAGAACATATTATACAGTGCAATTTGGACATCCTAACCCCAAAATATATAGTATATATATATAAATAAATAACTATAAGAGTATAAATCGTAAATATTAAAAATATTTTTTCACAGTATATATAATAATATAATTAAGTCAAAAACTATTCAATATTGGACTCATTTCGAAGGTATTAACGAGACGATTATAATTGTGTAACTTGTTAAAATAAAATGTATTTTTTAAACATGTTTTAATTATACGATTATGTACGTTAATTTGATAAATGTTTAAAATAAAACATTTAAAAGTAAATGACGTAAAATAAATTAATTATAAGTGTATAAAGTGTAAATTTAAAATTATAATTTAAGAGAGGGTGAATGTATGTGAGGAAAGAAATGAGTGAAAAAATGAAAAATGAGTATAAAAAATATTTTGGTCATTTAATATTTTAAGATTTTAAGACTTTTGTTAAATTTACTTACCAAGATAGTATAGATAACTATCATGTTTTTCGAAGTCGGAACCGAAATGAATTCCATTCAGTATGGTACACGCACCCATTGAGTCGTATAAATATGACGCACGAAATATTGGGATAGAACCTAACCACGGTTACAAACAGCAAACCCTGGTTAAATATCTAGTTAGCAACCGTGTAGGTCCCACCCAAAACCCTTTAAATAGCAACCTAAACTTGCCTTCATTCCTCACCACCTTCTCATTCCTCTTTTTTTCACATTTCACATCTGTTTGATGATCGAATCATTCCTAATTTTTTCCTCAGCCGTGTTGTAATCGTACATATTTTCCGGTGAGTGATCCGTCCGTCTCTTTTTCTCTTTTTGATTTGTCTAACAATTTGGAGTTTTTAATCGTTAATTTTATGAATGTGATGGAATCCAGGAAGAGATCGAGATGGCATCCAACGGAAATGGAAATGCGATCGGAAAAGGTAACGGAGTGCCGGCCGGTAGGAACGGACTGCCGAAGATACAAACGCAGAAGAGACAGAGCGGGATACGTCAGGATGACGGTGCAGCGACGGTGAAGGCACAGACTATCGATGAGCTGCACTCTCTTCAGAAAAAGAAATCGGCACCGACAACACCGCTTGACGGTGTTCAAGGTGCTTTTGCATCTTTGACCGAAGAGGAACGCCACAAACAGCAGCTGCAGTCGATCAGGTATTTCAACACTGGCCATTTTGTTCAAACGAGTTATAATTATTTATATAAATTTGAATAATCAAGCTTGGAATCAAGTGGATTTGGGTAGAGATACTGTGGGGTCCAGCCGTCGGTGGGTAGAAATCGGACGGCGAAAATTGAACGGTAGAACCTTAAAGTTCGTATAGGTATTTGGACCATTGATGAAAAAGAGATTTCACCGTTAGCTTTGCGTAAAAAATTGCATTATATCAGAGAATAAAAAGTACATTTACAAATTAATTTCTATTTTATTTAAAAATTGTACCTTTTTAAGAACAAAAATTCTCAGTTTTAAAATAAATGTCTATAGTAAAAGTAAGACATAATTTTAAAAATTTGTAATTATTATAATTTTTAATTAACTAAATGGTAACACTTTTACCATTGATAACAGATAGTTTCTCCATTAAAGGTAAAATGAGAAAGTGGAAATTTACTTTTGAATGTGGTTACTTATTTTAGAACAAATTAAACTAGAAATGTTGACAATTTACTTGTGAAAGAGTGCTAATGACACCCCCAAATAGGGGGTGTTGGATGCCTTGGAAAATGTAATTGATGTAAATCCATCATATTTCAAAGTCAAATAATAGTATATTATGTTTTATTATTATTTTATTATTATATATACATACATACATATACACACACACCTATATATTCAATTATAATTTTAAGTTATATTATGTAACTATTATATATATAGCTAGTTATATATATATATATATATATATATTATACATAGTTTTTATTTATATTTTTATTATATATATGTGTGTGCATTAGTATTAGAATTATATCCTAATTATTTAAATATTTTTAAAAACGTCAATTTAAAAGTGATTTTTATGAATATAATATAAATACAAGTTTTGATTAAATTTAAATTGTTTTCAGTAATTGTAGTATTATATTCAAAATCATGCTAAAAATATAGTGATTTCAAAAATGTAATTATTTTTACAATAAATAATATTTCAAATCTCTCAGACCTTGACCAGATAATATTTCTAAACAATGTTATATATTTTTTTTTTCATAACATTTCAATCTATAAATTAATATACACACACACATATATATATATATATATATGTATGTATGTATATATATATATATTATCCTTTACATATTATCACACCCTACTTCATTTCGAACACAAATGCATCAAAAGCATGGATTCATGAACCAATTGTTAACAACACTACTCGTGAACGTCCCTTGTTGAATGATAAACTTTTCAGAAAAACTCATTTTCACTTATTTTAGTAAGTGAAAATGTAATATAAATTATGTTACGTTTTATTTATATATCAAATCTCATTTTTTTATGTTTTATTTTTATAATTATATAATTATTTAAAAAAATAATCTTAATATTTATATTA